TTTTTTTTTTTTTTTTTTAGGAGTTGGTATATTGCTATGTTTGCCAGGCTGGACTCAAACTCCTGGGCTCAAGGGATCCTCTTGTCTTATCTTCCCAAGTGGCTGGTACTACAGTCACATTCCACCATGCCTGGTTTAAGGAGGAGTTCATTTCATTATTTAATTATTTGGGTGAAAACTTGGGGATTTGAGAGAGAAGGGTTAGAAGTAAAGTCTGTGGGAGAGGTAGCTGAAACGTCATTTTGACCACTTGGGTAGGGTTTTAGCCCTATGATTAGAGGGCTCAGGGTCAAGAGCTGGAGTAGCCACTTTAGGCTTTGCCTCTTGACAGAAGCAGTGCTGTCTGAGGGCCCATGGGACAGTATAGCCGGTCTGAGGAGAAGGTCATTATTCTGTTATTTCCATTTGACTTCAGACCCATTTCCTCACCTTCTCTATTATAATCCACACAATATCACCTTCTACTGAGGAACTTATTTTACAGCAGAAGTGTGGTCGTGGGATCATGCATGCTTTTGGACTTCACTGGTGTTATCACCAGACCACAGCACAGAAAGTAGCTAGTCTGATAGACAGTGGGATGGCCCAATGCCCACTCAGTTAAGGTTCCAGCAGGGAGATAATACTCTGTAAGGTTGCACTATTGCTCTATAAGATGTAGTAAAAACTTTAAACCTGCAACCTACATTTACAAAACATAACATGGTCAATGTGTTGTTTCCCATTGACAGCACGTAAGTCAAAGTGATGTGTTTTTGATGTTTTTGATCAGGTTTTGGAAATTTCTCCATATTCCATGTTTCTGAGACTTATTATGAGTAGTTGTTGAATTTGTTCAAAGGCTTTTTCTGTATCTTGATATGAACATGTGGCCTGTTAATATGGTGAAATTTACTGTATTGATTTTTGACTGTTGAACCAGCATTACATTCCTAGATAAACCCTAGTTAGTTTTGTGTACTATTCTTTATACATATTATAGGATTCAACTTGCTAATATTTTCTTAAAGATTTTTATGTCTATGTTTATAGAAGTTATTAATCTGCACTTTTCTTTGTATTTTCTTTTTTTTTTTTTTTTTTTTTTTTTTTTTTTTTTTTTTTTTTTTTTTTTTTTTTTTTTTTTTTTTAGATAGGGTCTGACTCTGTTGCCCACGCTAGAGTGCGGTGGCACAGTCTCAGTTCACTGCAGTCTTGACCTCCTGGGCTCAAGTGATCCTCCCACCTCAGCCTCTCCAGTAGCTAAGACCATAGGTATGCACCACCACACCTAGCTAATTTTTTTGTTGGTTCATTTGTTTTTGTAGAGACAGGGTCTCATTATGTTGTCCAGACTGGTCTCTTGCTCCTGGCCCCAAGTGATCCTCAAACCTGGGCCTCCCAAAGTGCTGGGATTACAGGCATGAGTCACCACGCCCATTCTGCTGTCCATTGTCTTTGTCTAGTTTTGGTATCAGTGCAATGATGACCTCATAAAGTTAGTCAGGGAGTCTTTTCTTTTCTATTTTCTAAAAGAGATTTTGGAGAATTGACCTAAACTCAAACTTAACTCTTCCTTAAATGTTCGTAAAATTTACCAGTAAAAGCATCTGGATCTGGTGCTTTATTTTTTGGAAAGTTGTTATTGATTTAATTTCTTTAGAAGTTGCATGGAATTGGCCTTATTCCTTCTTTGTATGTTTGGTAGAATTTACTGCCAAAACTATTTGAGCCTGGAGATTTCTTTCTCAGAAAATTTCCAACTGAGAATTGATAATTTACAATAGTCACAGGACTATTGGATTATCTATTTTAACTTGGTCAGTTTTGGTAGATTGTGTGTTTTAGAAATTATTCTTGTTCAACTAAGCTGTCAAGTTTATATGAGTGAAGTTGTTTATTATCCTTTTAATGTATGCAGAGTATGTAGTGATTTCCCCTATTTCTTCCCTGATGTTGATAATTTGGACTTCACACTTTTTTTGTGTGTCACTCTTGCTAGACAGGGATTTATCAAATTTATTGATCTTTACAGACAGGGATTTATCAAATTTATTGATCTTTACAAAGAACCAACTTTTAGTTTTATTTACTTTTCTCATTTTTCCGTTTTCAATTTTATTGATATCTATTCTTATCTTTTTTATTTCCTTCTCACTGCTTGCTTTTTGTTCTTCCAGTTTTACATAAGGAAGTTTGGTTGATTTGGCATCTTTCTTCTAATAAAAGTATTTAATGACAAAATTTCCACTAAGCACTGATTTAGCTGCATCCTACAAATTTAAATATGATATATTTTTATTTATTTCATAGATTCCTGTAACTTCCCCCTCTTCCATTATGGCTGTCTTATACATTACATCTACATTCATTGAAATCCCCACCAGACATTGAAACCATCCAATGGATTCACCTTGCCTGCTGCCTAGACAGAGCCAGTTTATCAGGACAGGGGAATTGCAATGCAGAAAGAGTCATTCATGCACAGCTGGCTGCTCCTGAGTCCAAGCAATCCTCCTGTCTCAGCCTCCAGGGTAGCTGAGACTACAGGCATCTGCCACTATACCTGGCAATAATTTCTGTTAAATAAAAATGATAGGAGGTCACTTTTTTGAACTAAGCTCTTGCTCTAGGACCCAAAAGACCAGACTAAAAATCAAAATGGAGTCATCCATGCTACAGTTCCACGTCACCAAACCCAAACTAAATTGTTATCTGACCTTCAGGGAAATCACAAGAGACATAACAGCAACCTTCAATCCATATAATAATGAAGTTTCCTCTGCTTAAATCCTTACACAAAACAGTAGCCTAAGAAATCTTATACTGTTTTCCATAGTGGCTGTGCTAATTTATGTTTCCATCAACAGTAAGAGTTCCCTTTTCTCCACATCCTTGCCAGTGTCTGGGTTTTGTTTTGTTTTGTTTTTGTCTTAATAGCCATTTAAGTAGGGTAAGATAATATCTCCTTGTGGTTTTGATTTGCATTTCCCTGATGATTTGTGATGTTGAGCATTTTTTCATGTACCTGTTAGTCATTTGTATGCCTTCTTTTGAGAAATATCATTCATGTCTTTTTCCCACTTCTTAAGGAGATTATTTGGTTTTTTACTACTGAGTTGTTTGAGTTCCTTGTGCATCCTGGATATTAGTCCCTTGTTGGATGAATAGTTTGTAAATATTTTCTTTCATTCAACAGGT